TAAGTCTGTAATACTGTCTTATTCCAAGGATTTTGGAGTGAAGAGGCTGATAGTCATGTTGCACTCCTTGGTACACTTAAGGCTGTTGCTGGCACTGATTCATAGTCTATGAAGAGATGAGATGTTTGCTGAAGGAAAATAGTGTTAAATTGAAGAGACGTAATAGTTTGTTAAATATGCAAAAAACTTTAACCATGCTATTTGTATGTAATGTTCTAATAAATTGACACTCTACCTAATATTTAACATAAATATTTAGCACATACAGGTAGGACTCAATCAATGAGTTGTATGTTGAGTTAGTTGCATACCTCTTGAATAGTGGAAGCTGAAACATTGCAGCACGAAGGGTGCATGTTTATTATTCCTCGGCAGGCATGAACTGTATCATCATCATCACTAAAAAAATCTAGTTAGAAATGGGTGTTGGTATTTGCATCACCCTTCAACTAAAATGGAGGATAAAGTACATTTTAAGTATAAAAAGTTAAAAATTTATAATAAATACATAGGTGGTGCAAATAGCCTAATGGGTGACCAAAAGGCCTACGCAGAGACCACAAAGTTTGAACAGGTTGAATTTATTTTTCTCATTACAAACTGAGACAAAACTGTGATTTTCCTTTAAAAGACATTACAACTACATTTTACTTTCTCTGTCTATTAGTAAATATCTGCAAAAGTATTAACTGTAAGTAATTAAAAGAAACTAAATGAAAATATATGTAAATAGCACTAGGATATACACAGGGGCGAATGGACATTGTTGCTACAAGGGGCCGTGCCCGCCCCCCCCCCCCCCCCCCCCCCCACCATGGAAAAAAAATTATTAATATACTAATATATGGGTGGATGATTTAGAGGCGTCTTGGGCCCTTGGTCCCCCTCTCCCCAAAAAAATTATTAATAGTATACTATTATTTTTTTGGCCCCCTTCACCAAGGCAAATTATGTTCTTTAAAGTAGACATGGTTCCAAAACTGTTCATATATAATTATGAATATATAGTTCAAAAATTATGAACATATAGTTCTATAATTATGAACATAGAGTTGTGAACATAATTATGAACATATAATTTTGTAATTATGAATATAGAGATTCAATAGTTGTGAATATGAAGTTCAAAAATTATGAATATATAGCTTTATAATTATGAACATATAGTTCAGTACTTATGAACATAGAGTTTTGTAATTGTGAAATATAGAGTTAAATAATTATGAATATGAAGGTAAAAAATTATGAACATAGAATCGTGTCCACCTTGCAAGGTGGATACGGTTCCACAGCATAACGATTGCTTCACCAAAGTATCTGCACTCTCCAAACAAAAACTTTTAAACTAAGCTTTCAAAATCTTATTTGATTCGCAACTAGCCCTGGCCAAAAATATGATTTCTTTTTCTTGAACATACACAATCAAATATTGTCTAACATGCTCAAAATTTCTTCTTTCTTGAAATATGTATAAGCCAAAAATATGGCTTATACATATTTCTTATTCTTTTTTTTTTTTTTTTTTTTTTTTTTTTTTTTTTTTTTTTTTTTTGGGTTTAGGATAGTTAGAAAAACACTTATAACAAAAAATACATTATTTTTGTATTTAATGTATATTATTTTTGTACTGACACTCAGTACAAAAATAATACACATCCCTTGAATACAATGTACATTATTTTTGTACTGAATGTACAAAGTATTTAATAATTTGCTCTATACAAATTTTCTTCATTTTTTTTTATTATTATTATGTACATTCAACACACAAATAATGTACTTTTAGCACATTAAAAATGTACTTTCTTTTATGGTCCATACAACACTATGTGGAGCATGGTTCAAAAAATAATTTGTCGAGCACCTACAATATAAATAAAGTATGCAAACAAGTTTTCAATAATCTGTAGCACAATTTCAATGTTACATAGTATTTAATAATTTGCTCTATACAAATTTTCTTTATTTTTTTATTATTATGTTATATCGTTTAATTATATTATTATTATCTATGACCGTGCATCGTATGGGTGCAAATACTAGTTTAATTACAATATCAAGACTGTTCATTCCCAAATAAACAGATTAATAACATTATAAGATTAAGAAATCGAAAAGAAAAAAAAACTTAAAAGAAGATAAAAGAATAGAATAGGCATGGTAGCAATATTAAATTACAGAACCTGGACAGACGGACAGTTCACTCTACAATAACAATTAATAACTAACAATTATTAGTTTGTTTACAAAAAAAAAAAAAAAAAGAATTATTAGTTTAGCTATAAATAGTTCAAACATCTGAAAGCCAATTCCTCAAATGAAAGGTTCTGCCAAAATCCTCTAAATTGTTATCCAAATGGACAGGACCACAACATCGCTATAGTTCTCGCCTGAAGAAGTGTTATGATATTATTCTTTGTGGAAAATCAATTTTCAGTATTCATGCATATTGAATATTCTCTGCAAACTTTAAAAAAAAAAAAGTCTTTGAAGCTATGAATTTATGATAGTTATACGAAGCAAGAGGAAGCAAATAGCAGATAAAAAGGTAATTTAACTTTAATTTCTTTATTCTAAATATTTTCTGCAAACTATTCAAAAAAAAAAAAGTCTTTGAAGTTATGAAGAAATTTGCAACAGTTATACGAAGCAGGAGGAAGCAAATATCAGATAAAAAGGTAAGTTAAATTCATACCTTCAATTCCTTTATTCTTCTCTACTCATTCGTTCATATGTTGATTTTTTTCTTTATTCATACCCCTCCTAGACACAAATCATTATATTGAGGCTTATCTTTATTACATATCCATCTAATTTTTACCTTTCTTTTTCTACAATTTAGTCGAAAATCTACAGTTTCTATACCAGAAGAAACTTAGTGGCTATGAAGAAATTAACATCTTCCACAACCATTGGCAAGAAGAAGAAAATCAGTTCAATTAATCAAGTTTAGTCCACCCTACTTTTATATTGACTATTAAATTTGTTGGAAATGTGTACTTATCTTAGTAATAAAATGCATGATCTTAATCCGTGGCTGATATATGTCTGCATTAACATGAACATGTACATAGAGCTCATATTAGAATTAATAACCTGGAAAGCTTTGTTGAAATCTAAAAAAGAATTCTGTCTAGAAAAATTGTATGATGATTCAAATATTGTATGGTGATTCAAATAAGAATTCTGTCTAGAAAAATCATAATTTAGATATACATGGTAATAACATCTATTTAGGAAAAACAGTTCGGGAATCCAAAAAACTTATCGAACTTAGAAAAATATAATATAACCAAGGAAGTTGTGTATAATTAAATTTTATTCATAAATTATAAAGAATCATACAACTGTCAACGAACCTAAGATACTAAAATATCTGTTACATTACAGATTCCAATTAGAATACAAACTCTTATTAAATCAGAAGCCAAAAAAAGATATCAATACAAAAAATATGACCAAAATAAGCTGTTGTGGGTAAGAAGCATAAGGGCTATTACATACTAAACAATAAGCTAATGTTGGTGATAATGAACCACAATCGATTTAATATCCGTAAAATAATATTTATATATATACACACGAAATATATAAAAAATATTATTGGATATATATCCGAAATATATATATACACACAAATATATATAAAACGGACCCAACGGTTATATATACATGTATATCTACGAAAAAGATATACCAATATATATCAACCAAAAGAAAATATAATCCTTAGATTATAATTCCAAAACAACAAGAAAGAACGGATTTTTGCTTAGAGCATAATCCAAAACAAGAAAGAAGGAGAAGGAAGAAAGATTCGTGCGAGTTAGGCAAAGTGCCTGTCTTTCCTTAAAACCTTATTTGCCACCTCCCAAAAGTGCTAGGAGCGTTGTGGCCTAGGTTTCCCAGGATAAAATGTACAACGGTTCGACGTTTGAGCACCCAAACGAACGAACCCGGCGAACAAGAGCACGGGCAAAACACAGCTTCAAGAATGGAGTACGAGCAGAATTTTTGAGAAGAAAAAGTGCTTATCTTTGTGTGTTGTGTACTCTCGTGTTCTTCCCTCACTAGTTGTCTCTCACTATGCAGGGTGAAAAGCCTCTACTCCCACTACACTCTTATATAGGAGGTTGGTACTTAATAGCATTATTATGACACATTAACCAACATAAATTCAATTTAAAAATTGAATTATAACGTTTGAAACGGTCGTACTTATTATCGAAATAATATCAACGGTCACGAACTTAATATCCGATTAATTCGTACCGACCATAACGACCCGTTTCAAATATCTGAGTGACCGAGAAGTCCGTACAAACCCGAAAGGTTAACGAATTGGGACCGAAAACCACAGCTGAATGGTCCGCAAAGTACCGAAACGGTGTGGCACGAATCAATGCATATAGCATTGACTCGTGCTCAGCACGAAAGTAGCTCACACGAAAGGAGCTCAAAAGCTTAATTCACTAATTAAGCTTTCAATGTTTTAATTGCATAACTTTCGTCCATGCAAGCTTTCGTTCATGCATAATGCATCACCCCAATTTTCATAATTAAGCTTTCAAAGCTTATCAAATTTAAGTTGCACGTGATGTGCTGCCATCACATGCATAGTGTTTTAATAATTTAAATACTAGCATGCCTGATTGGCACAACACGAAAGTGCTACAACGAAACATAAGTAGCACGAATCTAATGCTAATTCTTGATTAGCATTAATCTTAAATTTTGACTTCTCTCAAATAAGTTCACTTTGAGAATCAATTTCTCATTCACCTATTACCCATTTTGAGCGTACATTATATCAAATTCTTCGTCTCACTACGAAGAACCCGAATCCACATTAACCCGACCCAAATCGGAAGTGGATCCCACATATATTTGTACCACAAAATAATCACTCAAAATATCATTTTAATGCTATTTTTCCAACAATCCCCCACATGAATGAAAATTGAATTTCAGGGTATTTTGAAATCGGAAACAACTGTGTTTAACGGTCGATCCCTGCATAGGATAGGTAGGGATCACTATACCCTTTGAACCTTCCTTTGTAAAGATATGTTTACTCTACTGGCTGTACGGTAGAACGCAATGTCTTTGAACCGACTGCCGTTTGTGTAGACGATGACATATCTCACACAGGAACCTCCCAACCATGCTCTGTTCTCATGAGTGTGCCCATTTTGGTCGTGGGTCACCGTCCTGGTTCTGCAAGAGTTTGTGAAGAATTGTGCCCATCAATTCTCCTTTGAAGCGACCCTCACTTCTCTCTCACATAGGTGATTCTTTTCCGAGTATCCCGCATACTCACACATGTCAACCGACATTCGAATCATTAAAGCATCAACATGCTAACCTTGCGCGGGAGTCACTGTTTCTAACGAGGAGTGGTAGGGAGTCCGAGACCCCCACAGTGACACGCTCCGTTCCATAATTTAGTTGTCCCATTGAACCTAGGTGCCAGCTAGGTTGGGTATCCACTATAGAACTTTTAGTCCAAGGGCTTTAGACCCATTCCTCGTTCCAATTTCTCCACAACCATTTGCTTACCCTCGGGTTAGCGAGTTAGCGGCCGCTACGTTATCTTTTGACATCACGTAGTCAATAGAGATAACTCCCGTTGTGAGAAATTGTTTAATGGTATTATATCTACGACTTATAAGTCTAGACTTACGATTCCACATTTAACTCTGTACTTAACCAATTTTGGCTTGACTATCGCAATGCACACAAATTGGAGGTACGAGTTCACCACTAGGAACATTCTCGAAATAATGGCATAACCATTCGGCCTACTCGTTCGCGACACGAGTGTAAGGCTCTCAGCTTTGATCCCGTCGGATCTTAGCTATCACAAATTCATTTCGAGAATTTCCGTCCAACCGACTGCACTGGCCTACGTAAGGACGTAGCCTTTAATGGACTTAGTATCCTTTGATATCCGTGCTATATTTTCCAAGTACAGCTAGATATCTCACTTAGTGCAGTCCAACGTCACGAGCATACCTTGAGTATCTCATAACTTTCACTATTGCCTTCTAGTGCATAACACTAGGGTTACTCGTATGTCACCGAGTTCGTTAACCACTAAGGCAATATCCGGCCTAGTACAACCCATTTGATACAATTAAACTACCGATAATCTGAATGTATTCTCCGTGAGAAGTACAATCTCCGAGATTATTGGCTAGTTGTACGTTAGTATCTAACGGTGTCCAAGCCACTTGATTAACATCCTTTGTAAGGATTTAATCAACACAATGAGATTGGCTTAACACGAGACCATACGGTCTTCTCACAATTTTAATCTCAAAGATTAAATCTGCCAAGCCCACACCTTTGATCGCACGTCAAATCTCAATTTAACATGTTCTCGGTAGAATTGATCATGTGATGGTTACTACCCACGTTGAGTTTGTCGTGTATAGACAAATAGTGATAACCTCATCTATCGTACGCATTACGTAGACATTTATCACATTTATTTATACTAAACTCGTGACACATCATTGTATGATAAAAACTTACATGCCAAGTACTAAGGCAATTGTTTCTTCAAACCAAACAATGATCTCACCAGTTACACACTTTCTTTCCATAGCGCGGAACCACGAAACCCTTGGGTTGTTCCATGTCTATTAAGAAAGCGATACATCCATTTCGATAAACTTCCAAGTCTCGCTAAACAGCTCTTGGGAAGTATCATCCTAATGGATTTCATCCTCATCACAAGAGAATATATATTGAAGTAACTGTGGCACTCGCGTTGCATGTAATTTAAAATTACAAGCTCAGCCATTTTACTTCGATATAACTAACCGGTTTTATCTTCCGACTAGTGATCCCGAGGTTTTACAACCTGGAGGAAGAACGACCAGTTCCAAGTATGATTCTTTAAGATAGAATCTACTTCACTCTCAATAGCCTCTCTCGGGTTGGTCCATCTGTAGAAGTCACAACTTCTACATACGTTCGAGGCTTGTTTTCTAACAACCTTGTCAGAAAATCCAATTTATTTTCTAGTAAACAAGTTAGAATATGCGCGTCACATTCTAGCATGTACGTCAGAAAATCTGGACCAAAGGATTGTTCAATCCTAGCTCTCTTGCTACGTCTAGCTTTGAGCTCGGGTTCTCTTTCATACCCTTCAACCATAGCTACGCCGAAAGTTCCTTTCAACGTGCTAGGTCCTTTATTGAATCTTCACAAAAATACATTTTCCAAAGAATGATGAATTTCTTGATTCAATTTATTGTGTTCTTATGTACATCCAGAGCGTAGGACTCGTGTACTAAGAACCAAAACGCCTTTGGCAATACACCCCCACATTTCAGGCATTAGTAGGAAAATTTCCTACGTACCCACAATTCGTAAGAATTTCATGCGGGTAACCTTATTTAAAAGGTACTTACTTGCCCAAAGTATTGTCTCACCCCACATACTATGAGGTAGACCCGAACTTATCAACGCCTTGATATTTATGTTCGGTAACAACGTTCGATTGAGGTGAATACCGTATCGTACTTTCGAGTACAATACTAACGCTTTCGCAGAAATCACCAATAGGTGTTTCATATTCACTACATCGATCGTTCGTAACCGCATTAATCCACGATTAATTTGGTTTATCTCTTTTATTCTTATAAAGAATAAACATGTGCTACACGTTAGCACATCTCGTAGAAGCTGACGGGTTAGCCTTTACAAATCCATTCGGTTTTGACCGAAAGGCCACAAACCCGAACCAGTTCTTCCGAAATTGAAGCACGAATCAGTGCTTAGTAGTGAAGCACGAAACATGCTATACCAAGCACGAATCATTGCTTCTAAACTAACGCATCGATTCCAAAGCAATCTTTATT